GAAGAGACAGGACTAGAAGAGGAAATGAAAAGTCATTACCCATGCTTTTCCTTACAAAATTCCACATTGAAAAGTAATTTTTTCTTTTCAACTTTTAGTCCCCTTCTATCTATTCAAGTGAGGAAAAACATTCAAAGACATTTGGGTTTCTTATCAAAAAGCGCTCGGGTTGTTTTATTATAAAATTTTTAAGGGAGCTCTTTAGTGCTTAACTCTTGGGACATCGTGGATTAGTAATTGGGCATCTATTGGGTTCTATACTTTAAGTTTTTCACCTTTGAGGTAAGTTTGCCTACTTATTTATTTATTTCTTCTTCTTTTGTTATTTATTTAGTTAAATTTTTCTTTTTTTATTTTCATTATTATTTTTTTACTTTTATTTCTATTTTTTATTCTTTTCTTTTTCTATTCTTGTTTTAGTGTAATATTTAGAAAGTCTATCTTTTTTTCTTCTTATTTTAGAGTAATGTTGAGAAATTTATTGTTCCTTTATTTTTTTTCTTATTGTTTGATAAAATAAATAATTTTAATAAAGAATTAGAATTGTAGAATTTACAGTTTTAGGTCTTAAAAATTACTTTTTATAAAATAATCAAAAAATTTAAAATTACAACTTATTTTAAATATTTCTTATTTAAAATCCTTAAGTTGCAACTTATTTGATATGCATAAATAGATTCTTAAATTTTATATTATTGGCAACATGTTAAAATATTATTTTACATCAATTCATTGATTTGTTTGTATCTGATAGTTCATATATATTATAAATCATAGTCGTTGGATATAATAGTATTAACGGTTAAGATTGAGAGTGTAGCTAATACCGGTGTAAAATAATCCTAACACCCTTCTCTCTCTATATATATATATATATATATATATATATATATATATATATATATATATATATATATATATATATATATGAGGTAAGATCCTTTGACACCAGTATCAAATTTAAAATTTGACACCTCATCTGATAGCCATTAGATCAAAAAAAATCAACAGTGTCACATGCTTACAAATTAGAGTCGTTGATCTTTTTCGATCTAACGACTATCAGATGAGGTGTCAAACTTCAAATTTGACACAAAATATATATATATATATATATATATATATATATATATATATATATATATGAAAAAATATTTCTACAGCCACTTCATATATCCTTGTCTACAACTACCCCTTTTTAACTAAGTATGATCGGTCATACTTTAAAATTGCATTTTCTCTCTCCGCCACGTCAGCCGACAGTGTTCGAGGAGAGAGAAAAAAAGAACAGCTTTATTGTTATAACTAAGTATGACTGGTCATACTTAGTTAAAAAAGAGTAACTGTAGATAAGCTTATCTAAAGTAGCTGTAAAAATACTTTTCCCATATATATATATATATATATATATATATATATATAGAGGCTTTAATGTTTCTAAAGTGAATGTAGATAAGTTATCTACATTCACTCCCGAAACGACGTCGTTTTGGATTAAAAAATTATAATGAAAAAGACTATTATAACCCTGGAATAAATTATAATTACAAAAATATCTTGATTTCCCCCTCAAAACGACGTCGTTTTGAGCTCAATGTAGATAAGCTATCTACATTCACTTTAGAAAAAGTGAACCCATATATAATTATATATATATATATATATATATATATATATATAATATTTTCAAAATATTCTAAAAACACAAAATCAAGTGACTTGTTCCCCTTGTAGTTTTTAGAGTCATTTTAGTTGCACAACTTGGTGATCCCTAACCTAAAAATCTTTTTTATATTTAAAAAAATATACAAACAGAGTCGCTGAGTCATACAACCCTTTCAACTCATAACTTTTAGAGGCATTTTAATTGTACAACTAGATAATACCTAACTTATAAAATTTTATTATTAAAAAAAATATTTTAAAAAAATCAATTAAATTATAAACAAGGATTTAACGAACAATGTAGCTCTGAATTTTCCATTGCACCACGGGATATGTCAGAGTGAAATTTCTCCCGTCAAATCCAAAAAATAATTTTTTTAATTTAACTTTTGTTTTCATAAATAATTATTTTACTTTTTTTGGGGTAAACAAATATTATTAAAGTTTATTAAAAATTTTCACAACTAACTTAAAATAAGATTCTTTGAATGGATGTACTAGAGGTGCATTGTGACTATGTTTCCACCCTTTTCTATGCATAAATAAACTCCGAATCTCGGATCTCAAAATTTCAAGAACAATTTAGAAACAAAGAGGTTTTCCAATTCCTAATTTGAAGAAAATCGGTGGAGACTCTATTTTATTCATTCAGGTTTTCATCCCATCGTAAAAAGGTACAGTCATTGCGAACATGGTAGGGTACCTCTAATATAGTCCTATTTGAAGGCCGTAGTCCCACAACCCACAGGATAAGTAGTTAAGGGTAGAAAATGTGTCGTCGAATTAGGTTTGTGTTGTATCAAGGTTTGACCGGCGTGTAAAATCGTCCAACCTAAACATGACACATATTCATTTATGGGAAGAAAATTCATACCCGAATATGACCCGCTGTGGGTCGTGGATCACACGAGTGACCCATGACTTGTAGCAGGGTTGTGTCAAAATCTCCAAAATTTAAACTCGTTTTTTGGGACAACTCGGGACACGACACAAGAATAATTCGTGTCATTTTTTCAATTTTGGACACGACCCATTTGAAGTGTCATTTTGGATCGACCCGTAGGTTACGACACATTTTGCCATCTCTACAAGTAGTGAATATGGTTCATATAGTCATTGGTTGGCTAGGACTAGTTTGTCTATGTAGTAATTAGTTGGTGCAACTTTTGGGCAAGGATAAAAACCTGTAGCTCAGGGAGAAGCTAGTGGTTCTAGTATGTTGAGAGACTTTCTTCGGCTTAAGCCTCCGACATTTTCCAATTTAGATTATTTGAGGATTCTAACCATTTTGTCAATGGGATAAATAGATATTATATAGCTTTGGGGTTTTTTTTAGTCAGAAGACAATGCAATTGGATACTTTTAGATTGAAGAATATGACTAGGGTACATATGACTTGATAATGTGATTAGAGGGAGAGTTGTTGAGGTACCTCCTATTACATGAGGGGAAATCGTTATAGCATTCATGGATAGCTTTTTGGGATCGAGGTAGACCTCCAACATCATGGTGGCAAAGTATGATATTGTATTCACACATTTATCTAGATATGCTCCTTTTATTAATACTGAATGAGATTACTTAAATCAAGATATCTGTAGATGGTTGGAGGAGATCTCTGTTTATGTTGGTGATGTCCTAAAGGAATTAATTCCTTCGGATGTTGTAGCTATTGATTGTGCCAAGTGGATAAACGCTGGTAAGTTCTCTCAATACTCATTTTGGTAAAGATCTCACTCCACTATATTATTTTGGAAAAAAATGTGTCCTTTTAAAGGACATAAGTCTAAATCTTTTTAAGAGAGAGATAACACAAAGAGGTGTGGGCCCCACTAAAAAAATAAAGACAAAAAATAAAATAAATGTATGAGTCTCATCTCTTTGTATCTCTCTCTCTTAAAATGACACACACTTTTTCCATTATTTTATTTTAGGAAAGGTTATTCTTTATTTTGCTTACATTTTCCTACCTCTCTTAACACTGTTCGATTACAATTTAATCCAACGGTGAAGATTCGCAGGATAAAATACACCCTTTTACCCCTTCCTCTCTCTTACTGCCTCCCACCCCTTCTCTCTCATCCCACCCTCTTCGACTACCATCATGTTCAAAACCTCAATCTAAAATTTTACAAAAAGTAAAATTAAAATCCAAGACCTGGAGAACTAATCAGTCAAAGGCAGACTTGGAGAGAGAAAGGGTGGGAGGCAGTGGGTGAAAGGAAGTGGTAAAATGATTTGTTTTATCCCGTGAATCTCGACCATTGGATTAGATTGTAATCTAACAATGTTAAAAGAGGTAGGCAAAATAAAGGTAGCAAAATAACCTATCCCTTTTATTTTTTATTTATTTATTTTTGTTTTTGGTAACTATTTGATAAACACATTTTGGTGAAGTGTGTGTTTAGAGATGGTGAGATTTCTAGACAGAGTTTAAGGCAAACTTGATTGTATTGGATATATTAGAATTTGATGATATCGTTTTGATTTTTGTCACAAGAAGATTTAATTTCATGCCTCAAGAGAAGAACTATTCCAATTATTAGACGATTATAACATAGCTCCAATAAATATAGTGTCACTTTTGTGTGCATATGAGTTTGGTAGAGGAGAAATTTTTTTTACCAAAAATCTCAATTTATAGGAATATGGTGAGAAATTGATTTTTCCGAAAATGTTACTAAAGAGTTATTTGATAGGCAAAAATATTCTCAAAAATGTTGGATCAATTTTACTGATAATATGTTTGGTTGATTATAAAGTATTACTGGGAATGTGGGGTGATTTTACAAAACTACCCTTTCCAATTTTATGATCCTTGATGAAACTCTCATCATCGTCTTCCTTTCTCTCTCACTTCCCAACCCCTCGTCTAGGATGACAGAACAACTTCCACAATCTTAAAAAACAAAACCCACAAACGACCCCCAAAGAAGAAACTATGGATGTGTTTGAATGTGTTTTTGTTTTTATAAACTGTTTTGAGGATAAATTTTGAAAATTGATTTTAGAGTAAAAAATAATAAAGCTTGTTTGAATATAGTTAATTTTAAAGTTATAAAGAAGTTGTAGTTATTTACATAAATACTATTAATGAATCCTTATATTTACAAGATTGTCACAGCAAAATAATTTAAAATTAAAATTAAAATCGATTTAATTATAAAAATACCATTAATAAATCCTTATTCGTTTTGCTTTTTCAGTTTTTAAAACAAAAAAACAGATGCTGTTTTGAAAACACATCCAAACAATTTTTTTTTGTTCTATTATTTTTAAAACTTAAAAACTGTTCTTGATAACAGAAATCAAACAGAGCCTGTCTTTTTGCAAAAATGGACTTGGATTTGGTAGCTCGCAATGTGGGACACTTAAAACTCATCAATTCCTTTCATGGGTCTCGGGTTTCTTTGAGAAGGGAAGCTGCGAGAGATGATGAGAAAGTGGTTTGGGAACTGGAACTGGAAGTTGGTGGTTCCAAAGACAATGATGGGGTAACAGTGGGTCTGAATGCAAAACCATGGATCCTTAAATGGGTACCACTTCGAATTTGAAAATTTCATATGCCAATTTTTACAATAGCTGTGTTAGTTTCGTGTGCCAAAGGGTGATTCCTGGTTTCAAAATAATTTATATTTTCAAAATCTAAAACTTTACAAGAGAAGGAATTTTGATTAAGCTGTATTTTTGCAGGGGTTGGGTGCATGAATTTTGAAGAAACAAGCGATGTCATCGTTGAAACCCATGGCGGCGTGAAGCAGGGATGAGAGAGACAAGTTGGGTAACCCAACTAAACAAAGTACTTTTGGAAGAAAAATTAATCAAAACTTTCCCACCGTGTGATAGGATTATTAGATGGAGTTTTTGTTCACATTTCAAAATTCTGGGAATATAATTTTTTCGGTATAAATTTTAAATTTCCTTCTACAAATATGGGATAATCAGATTACCACTGTTACTTTCTAGGAAAAAACAATTTTCCCATCTACCAAACACTGACTTTTCTAACTTTGGTTAGAAATGTTGTTTGATTAGCGGTCAAAATAAACCAATTAGATTTTATATGATATATTATTGTTATTATTATTATTTTGGAACGCTAAGGGAGATTTGGCTGAAAATTTGGTAAAAACTCCTTTAAAATATGAAAATTATAAATTAGTATTAATATTTTCTCCCAATTATTTCAATTTTATGTTGTTAGACGCAAACTTGTGTGTCACAGAAATATTTTCAGTGTTCCAGGACCAAAGAGTACTTGGTGCTCATCTAAGAAACTCGAACACGCAATTTTTTTTAAAAATAGCGTGTCGGACACGTGTCCGATACGTTCGAACACGCGGTCAATATTTTGGGACACGTGGTCAATTCTCTGACACGCTCCAACACGTTTTTTGGACACACGGTCAACTTTTTCGGATACGCTCAGACACGTTTTTTTTAGTCTTAATTTTATTTTATTAACTAAAAATAAAAAACATTTATAAATCAATTTTTTTCTGTTCTGAAATTTGACATGAAAAATTAACAAGATACGAAAAATTATTATTTTTTATATTTATGTTATGAAATTTGAATATTTGATTGGTTATATGTATTAAATATAAATTATATTATATATATTAAAAATATTATTTAATATCAAAACGTGTCCCAACGTGTCGAAATATGTCATTTTTTAGAATTAACGTGTCGGCGTGTTGTGTCGTGTCGTGTCCCTCCCGTGTCAATGTCCCTGCATCATAGGTGCTCATTTTACCAAATGTAGTAAAAGTAATACTTTTACCTTATCTTTACCTTTATATTTATTTTCATTCATATCTCACTTTTTTCTATTTTTGGAGGGAATCATGTGCTCTTGGAGCACAAAAAATAAGCTTGTGCATCACTATTGTGACATGATGTGGGATCCCATTGATTTTGTTTACATTTTTATAATATTTTCCTGCATTATTTAAAACATGACACTCATTTTTTATAGGAAAATACTACTCTCATTTTACATGAGGTAGTTATCTCATTTTCTCTCACATCGAAAATCGCACCCTTTCTTTTTTCTTTTTCTTTTTTACTTTTTAATGGTGGACCCCACTTAAACTCTCTCTATAGCATGAGATAATACTCTCATGTAACATAAGATTAATATTCCCCTTTTTTATACTATATTTTTACATACTAAATACATATTTGGTTTTTATTAGCTTTTAAGGAAAAAGTAATATTTATCAAAGTTATTCCACTGAAATTTTAACTGTAAATTATTTTAAATACAAAATAAACTAAATAAAAAATATTAAAGAGTCATTCCATAATTCATGGTGCCTTAAACTTTCACTCATCACAATGACCAAAACTGTGAAACCTACTTTTATACCATTTTAAATCTTAAACACTAATCCTATATGTGTATCAAGTAAAAAAAGATAAAATTATCCAATACATCAGGATTTTACTTGTCCAAGGGTAGCTGGGTTGTCAATTAAACCCTGGTTAAAGTAAATTTTTGAAAAAAATTTAGGGGTAGAGTACGTGCCTCTCTCCTTAAGGGGATAGTTTCATCCTTTCTCATGTGACAAAATTCAATGCACTTGCTATTCCAATAAGGAGGCAGCCTTTATGGCCGTACTTCTAGCACAAAGTGGCCGAAAAAAGTTATACCAAAAAAATACTTGCCCAAATGGTAGTAGTTTTAATCGGGTCTATTAGGATTTCAAACAAATATTTAAAAAAATTAAAATAAAAAATTCATTATGCAAAATTTAGAAGATAATTTGCAGAAATTTATTCAGGGGAGATGATATATAATAAGTATTAATGTTTTTTATGTTTGTAGGAGATAATTTTATCTCTTACATATATATATAAAAGTGTGTGGAGTCCATATAAAACCAATTGAAGAGAAAAAAGAAAAAAATTATAGATCTCACGCACTTTAATATATGTATAATATGGTGGAAAAAAAAAATGCTTTGGTTGAACCCACCAAAGCAAGTGAATTCATGGACCAACGCTGCTGTCGCGTTGACGCCCGCGAGTGCCAATCTTGACGCCATTCCCTATATATGCACATAACTAATTTTCTCTGTTTTTGACACCCCTCATATACTCTCCATCATCTTAGCTAACTACGCTTAACTTCTCTCTCCCCCCCCCCCCCCCCCCCCCCCCCCCCCCCCCCCCCCCCCCCTCTCCCTATACCGCTCCCTCTCTCCCTATACAACTTTCTTTGTTTTTCTCTTTGTTGTGTTGTTTTCTTTTCTCTTTCTAAAAATCTTTTTAGGTTTAATTTTGTAATCGAGCATTCTTTTTAGTCACCAGGGTCGTTTTTTCAAGTTGAGGAACACATGTTATTTTACACTTTTAAGTGTGTGTATATACATTTATAATTTCATACATATAACTTTCATTATTTGGAGTACCTTCATTGCCTACTTTCAGTGCAAGAGGATCACCATGTTGCAGGATGTTATTCTCCCGCCACCGCCACGGCTGCCGCAACTGGCTGAGCAACTCCCCATTGTAATGACCTCGAGCTTGTTATATCAATCATGTATATATAGATATAATGTCAAAGCATGTGTTGGAACTAAGCTATCTTTGTGTGTCATGCAATATCTATAACTATAAATAGTTTTCTTTTGAGTTTATTTAATTGTATGGAACTTCACAAGTTTGTTTGGAATGTGGGTTTTTCTTTATTTTGGAAAGAGAACGAGTCTAGAGTAGTGATAAAATTATTTTTTTGTCACTGAAAAGTTATAGATTGAGATTCGGGAAACAAAATTCTTTCATATATACGAGAATAAGACTGCATATAAGAATTGTTGTCACTCTAGTATTTTTTTTTTAATATAATTTTGGGACACTCTTTCTTATATTTTAGAAGCCAAGTAGTGTTCGTGGCCGGGGTGCGATTTATTATCTGTTATTAATTCCTCCTGTCCTATACTCTATTAATTCTATCAAAGCATGAATCATGAATATGATTTGTTTATGTATGTTACATGTTTCATCTTAATTTGTTTCTGAGAATTCTGAATAATATTTCCCTTATTGGTAACTGGAAGCTATATATATAGTGTTAAGTATTAATTATCCTAGAAAAACCATAAGCCATCCTCAAATTATTTTTCCATGAAGGCTTCCCTTACAATTTGTAGTACAAAGAACATTTTCTTTCCTGTATTTATATGGTTCGTGAGCATAATGTTTATTGACTGGCAATAAGAACGAATCAGAGACTCTTTTTTGATGTTATCAAGTCCAAGACAATGATGTCCTTGCCACAAAAATGACATTTTCTAAGGGCAAAATAGTAAAGTGATGTAACATTTTCCGTCAATAGCCATTTAACCATAGCTTTCGGTTCTAGTGGAATATATATCTCTTTGGGGGCTTCTTGTATAAGCTTTGCTAATTTTGATATTCTTTATTCAGTTAGATAGGGAGAAACAATTCACACGGAAAACACAGCATTATGGGGTTCCTTTAAGTGGCTTTCAATTTCCACTTACTAGAACAAAAATAACATAGCATGATCAATTGGTTCTTCCTTTGTTTTTACATTGTTGTATTTCATAGTAACATTGGCTCCTACGTGTCACATGAAGGCATTGAAGCACATTTTTTTTTTTTAGATATTTCAATCGGTTCATCGCTTCGCGACTAGTCTGATTCGGAGCGAGTTCTAAGATTAAGACTTTAAACCCCTCCCAAAGATAGTATTGAAGAGGATCAAACACATGCACTGAGCTACCATTGTTTAGTTATTTTTTAATAACTCATAAAAGCCATCCCTTTTGGAGAATTTTGTTATCTTTCTCACCAAATATGGACTAAAAGTGACTGGACTATGCAACCAACCAGAGTAGCATGTAGAATGCCTCATAGGGCTTTTGCACATTGCTTTATTTCATTTTATTCTTTACATAGAAAGAGTAATATTTTGGTTAGTAACTTGGCATGTTTTTTTGTTTTGGAATGCCCACTACACCTACCTACAAATTAAGCCAGAAGTTTCAATTGATTAGAGAATATTAGCTTTTCAATTTCTATTCTGATCAAAGAGAACAGTTCAGACCCATGTCTATCAACAAAAAGAGGAATTGGATTCAGATATGAAAAGGCATAATGAGAAAAATTATATTATAGAGAATCACGTTTCTAGTTTGTTTTTATAAATAATGGGGTCTTCGTTAAAATTATTCTGAGTCTGTGTTATAGTAAGTAGTTTTTCGTAAACATGTTGTCTACATCCTTTATATGTCATTCACTGCAGGACGAAATTTCAAGCCCAATTAGTGCTCGAATTTTCGAACTTTGTGACACTGAATTGTTCCAAGAGACTCTGCAGAACTTTGAGGGTACCTCCAACTCAAATTGTGGCCATGAAGAAAATTCATCATATACCACAAATATATCTCTAGCTTTAGATGTAGACAATAAGATCAATAGCAATAGCAATATAGTCACCACCCCATCTAGTAATATTGCAACCACTACCAACACCAACACCAACAACAACACAACAAAAAGCAGTAACATGTGTATTATCTTTGACTCCCAAGAAGAAATTGATAATGACACCTCTGCCTCCATAGACTTCTCATCATCTCCAGCTTTTGTTGTTCCCCTACTTCTTCCAATCACAACAACTCAGCAGGAACAATTTGATTTCTATTCATCATCAGGTTCAGTTTTGAAGGGTCTCTCTCAGTATCCCACTAATCCTGTTGTAGCACCACTTATTGGGGCTCCATTATCATCTGTTTTTGAAGATGATTGCATATCTTCAATCCCTTCTTATGTGTCTCTTAACCCTTCATCTCCTTCTTGCTCTTATCTCAGTCCTGGCTTAGGAGTATCATACATGCCTCCTAGGCCACTTAATACTGCTGAAAGTTCTGGGTTATTTGGTGGGAGCATTCTACTTGGTTCTGAACTGCAGACACAAGAATTGGATTACCAAGGAGAAAATGGTGGAATATGTTGTACAGATTCAATTCAGAGGGTGTTTAACCAACCAGACCTTCAGGTATGTGCAATTTTCAATGTTATCCTTGATTGATTTTATTTTATTTTTTGTTTTCCAACCTATTCATAAATTACTCGACTAGTTCGGTTCGAGCACAGTCGAACCTAGATAGAGGACAACTCTCCCAAAACCATTTTCTTCATTCTCAGAGCTCAAACTTGAAACTTTTAGTTAAGGAGAGCAAGCTCCTTACCAATTAAACCAATGGTAGTTGGTTCTTTGATTGCTTTTAGTTAACAGTCAATGACCAAACCAAAAATTTCAGTCCAAATGTTCAATGCATTCAGAAATAAGAGGGGGGGAAAGTACAATGAACCAAGAAATTTTATTGATGCTGCAAAGCTTACTTCTTGCAAGTTTTAAAGGTTGGAGCAGTAAAGTTCTTAAAAATTAGAAGAGGCAATTTCACAGGTGGACTTTTTGGGGTAAAGCTCATGGTCCACAAATCTCTAAGCTAAAACCTCATAGGTGACCATATACATCAAACAATGACCAACATGTCAGTCCCTTTATGAAGTCACCTGTGTTAAAAAGTAATATAAATTTGGCCTAGCAGGAAGGAATAAAAACTTTGAGCAAATTTTTAAAAATAATAATAATAATAATAATAAACAACATCATCATTAGAAAGACTCACTTTATGGGTGGGTTTATGTGAATATCTCTTTTTACAGTTTCTAATTAAAGTTATTATACAGTTTAACAATTTTCCTGTGTGTTGTATAAGAAATTGATCTTTATAATTGTAATTTCTCTCCCAGGCATTTGGTTCTGAGAGTCAGAAACTGGTAGCTGGGGCTGGGAGTTCTGCCACTTTGGCACCAGAAATCTCAAGCTTGGAGGACTCTACCTTAAAGGTTGGAAAACTTTCTGTTGAGCAAAGGAAAGAGAAGATTCATAGATACATGAAGAAGAGAAATGAAAGAAATTTCAGCAAGAAAATCAAGGTACTACTATATATATGAAGCAACAAAATAGAAGCATATCAAGAAACAAAATTTAAAGAGAGCGAGAGCCTTGAGCAGTGATAAAATTACTCTTTTGTGAATAAAAGGTCACAAGTTCGAATCGGAAAACGGTCTCTTTACAAATATGCAAGGCTGTATACAAGAATTGCTCTCACCTCTACCCTCACTATTCACGATTTAATGGGGAGTGATTTTTTTATCAAGAAACAAAATTTGAAATCCATAATTCAATATAATTTCCTTTCTTATCAACCATGTTTCCTACATATTTTTTAAAAATTCAACTAATGATGCAAGAAAATATTATGCAGTATGCATGCCGCAAAACATTGGCAGATAGCAGACCCCGAGTTAGAGGAAGGTTTGCAAAGAATGATGACTTTGCAGAGAGTCATGGACCAGCTTGTAGCAATCATGAAAAAGAAGTAAGATTCCCTTGGCACATTTAATTGTTAAATTCATTCATAACAGGATATTGTTGTTCAACTTGCCTAAGTCTAAAAGAAAAAGAAAAAAAAAATTCCCTATCACTTTTACCTTTTCAATTATTGGATGGTATAATTCCTTAATCCTATATTCCTTCCATTTTGTACTTAACAGATAGTTATGAAAGAAGATGATGATATGGTGGATTCCTCAGATATCTTTGCCCATATCAGTGGGGTGAACTCCTTCAAATGCAACTATTCCATCCAATCTTGGATTTGAATTAATAGTTTTGACTTTGACTAGTATATCTACATTTAGCTTGTGTAAATTTTTGATAGGGCTCTGTTCCTTCCTGGGTTTGATGGTTTGAGGAAGCTGAATAATTGGGGTCCAAATATTATACCAATAAGTGAGTTAGGAACATGCAGAAAGTAGAAACTGTGTAACATTTTTGCTGATAATGTCTTTTTCATTAAGTTGTAACTAAGAATAATAACTTGTATTAAACCAGTGATGTAGCTTCTTTTATAATATTTAGGAACTTGCTTTTATGTAATTTTACATGATTGGCCTGTGAAAGCAAAGAAAAGTGCAATTATTATTATTATTTTTATTTAGTTTACATTGCATTAGATAAACGCTTTTATATATAAATAAAGGGAGCATCTAATCTCATGTTATAGGAGATACTCCCTTTTATACTATGGATCCAACACATGGTGGATCCCACCATATATTAAAAAAATAATAATAAAATACGTTTATTAATGTATTTACAACTTAAGATAACTCTCTCCTCTTACGCGTGAATAATTTTCCATAAACTAAACATATGGTAAACCATAAACCTTGCAATACCGCTAAACTAGGTCATGCCTGCATCTCTTGTTGGCTAATACCTGTTGACAACAGATCACTTTTTTCTGTATGACGTTTGACTACTCTTAAGAAAGGTCCACAAAGGATAAAAACAGTTACACTTTTATTTCGGTAACTTGTAGAATATTTGTCAAATTCTCATCCAAAATTTCTAGAATACTTCCTTCAATTCTTATTGTTGGAGACTATGGATGTGAGAGAGAAGTATTTACATTAAATTGGTTATTTAAAAATATATGGAATATTTAATCACTCCTTTTTTTTTTTTTTTGATAACATTTAATCACTCCTTTAAGCATGAAGTTAGTGAGTAATTATTATTAAATAACTATTTTAATACGAAGCGTTTATTTTTAATATTTATACTCATTAGAAATGGGAAAATTAAGGTTCAATCTATGAGTTGCAATGTTCAACTTGAATTTAATTCATTTACATTTTGAGAAATGACATTATTAATATCATTTTTATATTTATTAATGATGTATGAATTTGTTATTAATGTTTGTTGTTAGCTATCATGCTAAAAGTCGATTCTCATATAAGATATAACCATAATCAATTATTAGTCTATTATCATTAATTTGTACATCATTGTCCGATCTAAATATTAAAAAGAAAGTTGGTACATAAATATTGGTGTTGTTTACTTTTTTTTGTCTGGTAAGTCAAAAAATTTTGAGTGATTTACGCGAGCCTAACAAATAGGCGCGCTTGGGGACGGAGCAGCCCCGCCTAGGTTTTCAAAGGACGCCCTACGAGGGAAATCTTTCAATAAAAAAGTCTCACTCACCAGTGAGGTCGTACCTACGACATAATTTATTGTGAATCGGGACCACCATTTTTTGAGTGGTCCCTCCGTTTGGTACATGGATTTTTCTCGGATTTTTGAGAAACTGAATTTTTTTAAATTTTAAATTTTCAGATATTATCGTAAACTGAATATAAAAATTATATTTTTGAAAATCGAGATTCCCGGACAAATAAAAATTTCTCCTGTACCAAACGCCCCCGTGTAAATAGGAGGGTAAAATTAGAAAAGAGAAAAAATAATAGGGGTAAAGAAGGAAAGAAAAAATTAATGATGTGAGAGGGAGCACCAAAAAATTCAGTAGTCCTGGACCATATTAAATATTTCTCGTACCTATCGACGCCGACCTCATAACTCGCTACCAAGGGATGGCCCTGCAGCTGCCAATATGAAAGAAGGGTGAGCTTAGTCGAAACCATGCCGACTCCAAGCCATCATAAGCACAAGATATCACAATTGCGATCAACGCCGCCAACAAGCCGATCTCAAGAAGCCAAGCCCGAACCAAGAGAGCTTAGCCCCTCTTAGGCACCTCAAGTAAAAAGGCAAGTACTTCAGCCTGATAGTCCAAACTTTTAATCTACCGAACTGTTATATACCCATGTACTGGGGCCCTTCTCGCCACATGAAGTGAGCATGATCCATTTTCAAATAAATCTTCTATAAATAAAGAGTTAAACTTTATATGATTGTCTTTACAACTTTAATCTTTATTGTTGTCACTATACACACAACTTGTTTCTTATTAATATATGTTTGTTATTTCTCTTATCTTCCACTTGTTATCTTCAAATTGAATTTTAAGTCTATGAAATTTCAGATTGAAATAATTATGTTTATGTTTTCAGTCATGCGCTAAGTTATTTTGGAATGGAAAAGTTGTGAAGCTCTTAAAGAACTATGCTCAAAACTTTTGCACTGAAACTTTTGTATTTCTATGATTTAAATAATTTTAACTCTTTGAGTGTCAATGAAAATTGAACTTAAACTGAGAAAGGAACTTTCTTAAGGAAGAGATTTCAGACAGCTTAACCATAGGAGGAAGGTAGGACTATAGAAACAATCCTACTGGTTGTCTTAGGAATAAGGGACCACCTCGTCCTCTGAAGGTTCTGAATTTAGTAACTGTTGGAGTCAAGGGAGCCATAGGAATATGAAAACTTGTGAGCCATTTAGTCAATGAGTTAAGGAATTAGAGTTGGCAGTGAAAAGACCTGAACAAATTCAGAAGGGTTAAGTCTTGAGTTAAGAGATAGCAATTTAAGAATGGGGAAGGGTTAAGCTTGTGAATTGTTGAAAAATCCTTTGAATACACTATGTATCAATTCGACCATGTTGAGAAAATTAAAGAAAAATATTGTAAATTGTATTGTGGCATGATGGAAGGTATATGAATGTATTGGTGATTTGGTTGTTAAGGTTGTTTAAGTGATGAAATTGGTTTGTTAAACTTAAAGCACAATTGTTAATACTTTGGGATTTAATGGCCGTTAGCTAGGGTTTTTCTAAGAGTTGTTGTTTATGTTTGCTTGTGTATTCTCAAGCATGTGATTGATCATATTGTGGTATGATCATTGTAGATTGACTCTCTTTGATCCAATCTTGGAGGATTAAGCTTTGGAAGCTTCTCTCTTTTGGTTTGTGAAATTGCTTGTGAAACTTTTATAGGTAAAATTTGGTGTGTCCTAGGGTTAGTCCATTTGTGTGCTCCGCCATGTCCTTTGAGAATGGTTGAATTTGTGATCTTTGATAATGTGTGATCTTTGATAATGTGTGATAGAGTATGATCATGTATTTTTACCTGATGTTTGACATGCGTTTTGGCATGCATTCTGGCATGCTATCTGATATATGTTTTGGTATACTAGTAACTGGTATATGTTTTGATATACTAGTATCTCTGGCCAGTAGATAAATTTATGGAAGTTCCACTGGATTGGTCTCCGTGGGCAGTTCCAATCGAGTTTTGCCATAGTGCTGTCTTCGTTTTGGGAGAGGTATTAGGAATGTCTCGGGAGTTAAGTGTGGTAGTATATAATATTCTTGTTTGGATGTTCTTGATTGTTTGTGCAGTGATTGTTGTGATATCGTATTTTATATTGTTCATATATTTGTTATTACATACACATTGAGTGAGCCATTGGGTGGAGTGACCCTCCAGGACCCGTGGTTTACTGAGATTGTCAAATCTCACCCTGCGTTATGGGGCATTATTTTCAGGTACCATTAGTGCTGTTGGAGAAACCTTGCGCAAGAAGCCCATGTAGAGTGGATACAAGTATATGGAGTATTTTGACATGTACATAAGAGTGCATAAGAATTACTTGGCATTTTGAGATATTATTTTGATGCAGTTGAAAGTTGTTTATTTTGTATCATTGACTTAGTGCATGAACATTGATCCTGTATGAGATGTTGTGGACATGCTTAAAGTTGTTCATGCTTTTGTTTCTAAGTCATTTGATATTATGTTGCTTATGTGATAGTTTAATTTGATAGTTAATGTAATGTAATGGTATCACTGGAGAATCTTGTTTATGTAATTATTAATGTATGTGATGGAAGGGCCTAAAGCCTATTGTAGTTATTAATAATGTTTAATTATACGAATTGATGGATATTGTGGGTTGTAAGTGCACCAATGTTGTTGATCCTTTGGATGCCACTCTTTTGATATATTAGGTATCATTTTTGAGTATTGGAACACACTTGTATAAAGTGGGTAAAAGTTGTAAAAACAAAAGAGACTCTGTCAAAATTTCTAGAAAAACAGTGAGATTTTACCCTAACTTTGAGAGACCATAACTCTATCCATAGTGGTCCAATTAAGATGTACCATACCTTATTTTGAAGCCTAAGATGTCCCCATGTTGTCATAAAATTTGGTGTCATTTGGAGATGTAGAAATTTCTCAATTTGCGTTTGAATGAGAGTTGTTCTGTACGCATTGTAAGTTGACAGCATTGATGTTCGTTTTTGAAAAATTCATATCTCTCTCATTTCTTACCCATATTAGGCTTATGATATATCGAACTGGAGCTTGAGGTGTATCCTAGAACATAATAAAATTTGGTGGAAAATAGATGTGTGGAATGTCTGAAGATTTTAAAATAGTAAGGAATGTTTATGTACCTAACAATGCAGTTTTGAATGTTTTAAGGAAGTAACTTACGACGAGCGTATCCGAAGTTGTAGAACCCCAAATAGAGCGTGTGATACCTTGTTGGAAAGGTAAAAGAATGTAGAATAACATATCAAAATATGGAAACTTATGGACAAGTAGTCCATGTGAAGTTTTGGAAAAACTGAATGTACCTTAAGTTGGTAAAATATCCAAATTGTGTATTTATGCTTCGTTGGTTTATAGAAATCGCTTAGCAATTTTAAATGGACGTTGTATGATGTTAAGAAATAGTATTTATGGTTCCACAATAGTTTTGAGTTGCAATCACATTTTTGGGAAATGTTTATTACGAATATTTGGTAAACGTAATGATTTTGTAAACGGCAATAAAAAGAAAAAAATTTGCCGTAATTTGTGAAGCATACTATTGTGATTGTAACTGCGTTTAATATCATAAACAATGAT